CACGCTGCCTGACCCACGATGCTGAGCTAAGACTTCAACCGACGACCGAAGAGCAAAGAGCGAAGAAACGAGGACCCCAGGACGATCCCCACAAATGAGCCCCGATCCCTCTCGGGGCTCCCCCTTTATTCCCTTGGCCTCGGCCACGCCCCCTTCTCGGCCACGCCCCTTCTCGGCCACGCCCCCTTCTCGGCCACGCCCCCTTCTCGGCCACGCCCCCTTCTTTATAAAGTCAGGAGCTCCCGGCTCCCTGTCACGTGTCCCTCAAGCCTCCTACGGAGGTTCCCGGCGCTCAGCCACACTCCTGGAACAGTGGCTGGCGCTAACACCATAGTGACAGTGTTTACGTCACTACATATGTATGCAGCATGACCTCTATTGCCATGATAATTAAAACATTGTTTTGATTGACTGTCCAGCCATATAATTATTGAATATGTTTGCGAACAATGCTTGGAATGTGATAATTGTGTTCTGGCTGATGCTGTGTTTATTAATAGATGTTAGCACCGCAATAACGCTGTACAGGTTATATCGTGAAGCATGTATATGCTAGGCAAAGCCCTCACAGCATATTAAATAACCAAACGAACTTTAAAATAACTGTCTACAGCATTTAAACATTGAATATGAATTCCAATTACCTGCAGCTGTTTTTAATTTAATTTATCAAAGTGATGTCCTGCTCAAATGGGCATTGAGGCGGTGCTCATCTCCCGTTTACAGCCCTGAACCAGTGGTGGGAATTCCACATTCCTATGGCGGGGTTGAGTCTATCGATAGAAAAACCACTGTTTAATTCCCCACAAAGTGGTACTCCTTTTATCGACACTGGAGGATGGTAGGCTGAGTGAACCCTCAACTTTGATTTTATGAAATCGTAGTCTTCAGAATGTGAACCACCACTTGGACATTTTTATAGGAAAGTAAATACAATGGCATAGTCTTCTTAGCTCATATATTTTTGTTTGCTCAAATGTTCTTCTATTTACAATGTTAAACATAGTGTGTATATGTACATCAGTCACCTAACCACCAGGCAGGATAATTTCATTATTAGCAGCACAATAAATGTTTCCAAGTCTGGCACAATGTAAGACATACCATCTTCTATTGCAGAGGTGAAAGGCACTCAATACATATTAAATTAGATTAGAATTAGTATAACATTGTCATGTTAATGAGGGCCAGTCAAGAGAGTTTACCATCAAGTAATTGGGATATTCGTGTTCTGGCTCCCCACAGATGTTTCTGCTGACTCAGGGTTCGTGTTGAGGCTCCTCAGAGATGTTTCTGCTGACTCAGGGTTCGTGTTGACGCTCCCCAGAGATGTTCTGCTGACTCAGGGTTCGTGTTGAGGCTTCCAGAGATGTTTCTGCTGACTCAGGGTTCGGGTTGAGGCTCCTCAGAGATGTTTCTGCTGACTCAGGGTTCGTGTCGAGGCCTCCAGAAATGTTTCTGCTGACTCAGGGTTTGTGTTGACGCTCCCCAGAGATGTTTCTGCTGACTCAGGGTTCGTGTTGAGGCTTCCAGAGATGTTTCTGCTGACTCAGGGTTCGGGTTGAGGCTACTCAGAGATGTTTCTGCTGACTCAGGGTTCGTGTCGAGGCCTCCAGAAATGTTTCTGCTGACTCAGGGTTCGTGTTGTGGCCTCCAGAGATGTTTCTGCTGACTCAGGGTTCGTGTCGAGGCCTCCAGATATGTTTCTGCTGACTCAGGGTTCGTGTTGAGGCTCCCCAGAAATGTTTCTGCTGACTCAGGGTCCGTGTTGTGGCTTCACAGAGATGTTTCTGCTGACTCAGGGTTCGCGTCGAGGCTCCTAAGAGATGTTTCTGCTGACTCAGGGTTCGTGTTGAGGCCTCCATAGATGTTTCTGCTGACTCAGGGTTCGTGTCGAGGCTCCCTAGAGATGTTTCTGCTGACTCAGGGTTCGTGTCGAGGCCTCCAGAGATGTTTCTGCTGACTCAGGGTCCGTGTTGAGGCTCCTCAGAGATGTTTCTGCTGACTCAGGGTCCGTGTTGTGGCTCCCCAGAGATGTTTCTGCTGACTCAGGGTTCGTGTTGAGGCTCCCCAGAGATGTTTCTGCTGACTCAGGGTTCGTGTCGAGGCATCCCAGAGATGTTTCTGCTGACTCAGGGTTCGTGTTGAGGCTCCCCAGAGATGTTTCTGCTGACTCAGGGTTCGTGGTGAGGCCTCCAGAGATGTTTCTGCTGACTCAGGGTTCGTGTTGAGGCTCCCCAGAGATGTTTCTGCTGACTCAGGGTTCGTGTCGAGGCATCCCAGAGATGTTTCTGCTGACTCAGGGTTCGTGTTGAGGCTCCTCAGAGATGTTTCTGCTGACTCAGGGTTCGTGTTGAGGCCTCCAGAGATGTTTCTGCTGACTCAGGGTTCGTGTTGAGGCTCCTCAGAGATGTTTCTGCTGACTCAGGGTTCGTGTTGTGGCTTCCAAAGAGATGTTTCTGCTGACTCAGGGTTCGTGTTGAGGCTCCCCAGAGATGTTTCTGCTGACTCAGTGTTCGTGTTATGGCTTCCAAGGAGATGTTTCTGCTGACTCAGGGTTCGTGTTGAGGCTCCCCAGAGATGTTTCTGCTGACTCAGGGTTCGTGTTATGGCTTCGAGAGATGTTTCTGCTGACTCAGGGTTCGTGTTGAGGCTCCTAAGAGATGTTTCTGCTGACTCAGGGTCCGTGTTGAGGCCCCCAGAGATGTTTCTGCTGACTCAGGGTTCGTGTTGATTCTCCCCAGAGATGTTTCTGCTGACTCAGGGTCCGTGTTGTGGCTCCCTAGAGATGTTTCTGCTGACTCAGGGTTCGTGTTGAGGCTCCTCAGAGATGTTTCTGCTCACTCAGGGTCCGTGTTGTGGCCTCCAAAGATGTTTCTGCTGACTCAGGGTTCGTGTTGAGGCTTCCCAGGAGATGTTTCTGCTGACTCAGGGTTCGTGTCGAGGCCTCCAGAGTTGTTTCTGCTGACTCAGGGTTCGTGTCGAGGCCCCCAGAGATGTTTCTGCTGACTCAGGGTTCGTGTTGAGGCTCCTCAGAGATGTTTCTGCTGACTCAGGGTTCGTGTTGATTCTCTCCAGAGATGTTTCTGCTGGCTCAGGGTTCATGTTGTGGTTTGCCAGAGATGTTTCTGCTGACTCAGGGTTCGTGTCGAGGCCTCCAGAGTTGTTTCTGCTGACTCAGGGTTCGTGTCGAGGCCCCCAGAGATGTTTCTGCTGACTCAGGGTTCGTGTTGAGGCTCCTCAGAGATGTTTCTGCTGACTCAGGGTTCGTGTTGATTCTCTCCAGAGATGTTTCTGCTGGCTCAGGGTTCATGTTGTGGTTTGCCAGAGATGTTTCTGCTGACTCAGGGTTCGTGTCGAGGCCTCCAGAGATGTTTCTGTTGGCTCAGGGTTCGTGTTGACGCTCCCCAGAGATGTTTCTGCTGACTCAGGGTTCGTGTTGATTCTCCCCAGAGATGTTTCTGCTGACTCAGGGTTCGGCAACCTGAGGCTCTTTTGCTACCCCCTTGCGGGCAGCCGTTTTTTTTTACTTAAATCTTTAAAAACACAAATTAGCATAAAGATAATGGCAGGGAATGGGTCGCTATGGAATGTCTTGGTGACAACAAAAATGCACAACAGTATTGTTAAAGCTATTGTAAAAGTATTGTTAAAGTTGTATTGTTAAAGAATGGCTAAGGTGGGGTGGAGGGACGAAATAGACGTAGTTTATTCCATCACCTATTTTGTTCATTTACGTCAGGTGTTTGTCATCCGCTGGATACCTGCTTCTGTGTCTGTGTGTACGAGTAGCTTTGCGTGTGATGCGGCTCTAGAACTATTTTGGTCAAAGACGAAAAAAATAGCTCTGCTTCTTTGAAAGATTGTCGACCTCTGTGCTAGCTTGTGTTGCCTTGCTGTGTGTGTATAATAAGTATAACCAGTAAAAACTAAGTTTTTCACTCTAAATCCTTTATATGCGTGGCGGCTAGAGTCCTCTCGTCCTCTGGCTTGAGATGGCTGCCACCTATGGGTCAGATGATTGTCTGCCAGCATTAAGCAATTGGTAATTAAATATTTAATTTGTTTTCCCTAAACAGTGTAAAATTTTTGGAAAAAAATTTCACGAACATTAATTGTCTCGCACAACGAGTCTGTGTGCAAAATGTCAGCTCGATTGGATCACGGGAAGTGGGTTAAAAAACGACCGAAAGATTTGCACGGTCGTAAGCAAGCAAGCAAGCACGCAAGCAAGCAAGCGAACTTAATATAAAGGATTTAAAAATACGCGGTAGCGCAGTGGCTATTGACCTGCACATCGAACCTAGTGATCCGAGTTCAATTCCTGGCCACGACAAATCAACTCAACCTTGTGCACATCTGGTGTGAAGTTTGAACATCAGCACTGGGAGAGCAAGGCAGCCATCGGGCGTGATGCTGTCCGCACCACCATAACTCGTTTGCTGTGCCAGCCTTCATAGCAGCTCGCTAACAGCCCTTGCTTCAACAGCGAGTATTTGCTATATGAGGCTTTGCGTGTTATTTTGTTGCATGCAGATGTTACTGTGTAAGGTGTTCAGATTATAAAATCAGGGATATTGTTTTTACTTATTAACATAATAATCGTATGTAGTCTAAGGGATATGTTCTGAAACAGATGTATTGACATTCTTTTTTTCGGAGCAGATGGTGTTATATTCTTTGCAACCCTCACTTTAAATTGCCAATGATATGCTCTTACCCAGACCCATAAAATAACTACTGTTATCATAAACTAGAGAACCATATTATCACTGGAGAGACATTACATTTATTTTTAAATACCCAAACAGTTAACGAATGTATGATTGTGCTATGAATTGCCTTACCTCTGTATTACTCATCCGGAATATCCACCACTAGTTCACGGCTGCATCATGCTCAGACGATGACTTGAATGAACAAATATGCTGTTCGTGCAACGCTCTGTTACTTAAATGGTTGAATTATATTAGCCTGCCAAGTGTTTTTAGAGTCACCCGTTTGAGTATAATGGACTTAAATCGTTGGTGATTGCGATGGAACACATTCTCGATGCGTGTTATCTACCCACAGCAGCGCTTGACGAAAGCCAGGCATATAAGCACGAGACGTACAACTTAAGCATCAAAAACAAACGAGGCTGGACAGCAGCCAGTCTGCCCCTGGTGGGTTGAAGTTTACCTTCGAACGGTGGATTGGGATCCCACACGCTCCATAGCTGCGCTACGAAGAACGGCGACCAGCAGAGGACGTATACGATCACGATAACCAGGGTCATCTTCACCGTCTTCACCATCGCCCTCGAGACACCGGTCACGCTGCTCACCCGCGTCATGGTCACAGCGTGCGTCTGACCCCTGTGCAGGGCCGCCACCTCCTCCTCGTCCTCTTGCCGCTTCTGCTGCCGCCGCCGCTGCTTCCGCCGCCGCCGCAGCAGCAGCGTGTCCTTGTGCACGTGCGGCGTCTTGAAGTAGATGTTCAGCCGGATGACGCGGCAGATCTTGGTCTGGCACCACACGAGCACGGCGGTGGGCACCACAAATATGGCCATGGCCATCCAGGTGATGTACGCCTTGACGCCCCACATCGGCTGGAATGTCCCCCAGCAGTCGTAGACGCCCGGGTAGACCTCCCCCTTGGCGAAGATGACCGCCTGGGGCACGCTGAGCAGCAGCGAGACCACCCACACGGCGCACACGGGCGCGTTCCAGTAAGCCATACGCTTCTTGAAGGTGACCATGGGGAAGCAGACCGCCTGGTATCGGTCCACCGTCATGCCCACGATCATGTAGGTGGAGGCAAACATGCCCACGATCTGCATGTACTTGATGAAGCGGCAGGCGAAGTCGGACGCGAGGAACACGTCGGTGATGTCCCACGCGAGCTGCGGCAGCACCTGGAAGAAAGCCACCACCAGGTCGGCGAGGCACAGGTGCACCATGAACACGTGCATGCGTGACGCGTGCTTGCGCCGTCGGAAGAGCGCCGTCAGCAGCACCGAGTTACCAAGTGTGGTGCATGCGAACATGGCGAACAGCACCGCCACCTCGGCTCTCGCCAGCGCCTCGTTGCGCTCGCCGCGCGACGAGGAGCCGTTGGCTCTGGCCGCGGTGCCGCTGACGTTCATGGCCAAACCGCGCGCGCGCGCCACCACGGAGGTCGTCTCACTGCTGTGGCGATGAGTGGCTCAATCGCGTCGGGTCTTCTCTCCCTCTCTCCACGCGCTCCCTCCCACTCACCCTCGCTCACTCTTACTTGCGCTCTTTCTGTGCGCGTGTGTGTGTGTACGTGGCGAGTGATGCAGGTTAAAGGGAGAATGTGGACTCTGAATTGCCAGTTCACGTGCAGAGACCTGTCCATTCATTCATCAAGCCATTCATCCGTAAATCCGCCCATTCTTTCTCTCATTCATTCATGGGTATGAGGTTCATGCTGTGCATGTGTCGTAGCCTGATTGTGGTGATGACAAATATTTAACGAGATTGAAATGTATTCTTGGTTCTTTCGGTAAAGTCACGTAAAAGGGAAATAATAAAATAGAAAAACAATAAAACAATAAACGTGGTGCTAACGTTAAGAAAAAACGCCACTTTTTTCAAATTTTCTTGCTGTGGTTTTCACACTTGATAATTGTTTGTGTTGCAATCGAAACGTCGTGAGAATTGTATTGTTTTATTTGTATTATTTTATTATTTCCCTTCTACGTCACTTTACAGAAAGAACCAATAATATGAATCCATTCAGTCACGAAAGCTTTAAATCGAAATTTTGATTGAAATGTTTAACTTTGAAGACGTTTGCTTTTATACATTATTGCATAATTATTGTTGGGCATTTCACATTATTTTTATGGCTTTATATGACTTCATATACATACACATTGTGTATACCAACTGGATATATATAGTAATCATACTCGTACAATATACTAAAGGTGCTTTTCTCTTTTGAATGTAAGTGTAGTAATATATCATCTATTCACTATATGGCACGGAAACCTTATGACATTAATGTTGAGGTTTAAATTATATAAAAACACCTGAACCCAATTTATTTTGCTTTCTTATTTCATTAATATAATTTTAAATGGCATGACATTCATGGTACATCCTGCTTGGTTGAGATGGTGAGATCGGAGAATCTGGATCATTCACGGCTCCCTGTGTGAATTTAAAGCCTTAACGCATTGAGCATTCAGAGTCTGAAATCCATTACGTGCCAGCTCCAGCTGAAACAATTCGTTATTCAGGGCCACATGGAAGGGCTGTGAAATATGGTACCGCTTTCGCAATGAGGACCTGGATGTAATGAACACGAGTGTGATGTGACATAAAATTAGGCAAAAAGCCCAATGACAACCTGGGACCAACTTCAGTGAAAAATAGAACGGGACCGTTTTGCCAGCATCAAAGTATGAAAAATAAGAACAGGTTTTACCCTTTTTGGAAAATAAACAGGTGTTCAGATGTTACTTTGATACTGGCAAAAGGTCCCATGATATGCGAGCTATAAATGCTCTGATACGTGCATTGGCTTTGTACTGTTCGCCTTTTGGCGTTCTCTGGTCCAACACTGGTGAGAATAAACCATGCAGAAGGTTGTCTCTGGCGTAGGCCAACGAGTTTCAAAGGCAATGCATATATTATCAGAGCATGTTTGTTTGCATGTTCACCACGAGTAGCGTGTGTGGTTAATGCAGACTTGATTCCCTGCAGAGTTCCAATTTGCCAGAAGAGACTCTTGAAGATGACCCCAGGGTCAAGGGCAGCCTGGGACTGCAGTGAATGAGGAACACATCAAGGCTCTACAATAAACCAATTGATGTTTGAACATCTTAACAGCTTCTTCTTGGTTCTTTTGGTAAAGTCACGTAGAAGGGAAATAATCAAATAATAAGAGAGAGCCCTGTTCTTCACCTGAGGACGGCTGCTTGCATTGTGGCCGGAACGTCGTGAGAATTGTATTTTATTATGTTTAATTTATTTTTATTTTATTATTTCCCTTCTACGTAACTTTACCGAAAGAACCAAGAAGACGAATCCCTGCAGTCACGAAAGCTTTAAATCGAAATCTTAACAGCTGTTTTATTGCCAGAAAGGGTAAAACCTATTTTTATTTTTCATGCAAAATAGAACGTTTGCTGCTTACGCTGTGCGCATCAAACCTTTCCATACAAAGTTGTCATGGAAGGTTTCGTGACATCATCAATCGCATCACACACGAGGCTCGTGGTTGTGCTGGTGTCATAGCTCAAATTCAGTTGGTGATAGAAAATAAAATACAAATCTGCACAATAGATCGTCAGCATTAACTGTACCTATGGGTAGGGCACTTGGCTAGGAACCAGGTCACTTGAGTCCGATTCCTATCGATGCTTACCACCTTCACTCATCTACGCTATCCATCATGGTAAAGTATGGTCAAACAGCATCAATGACCGACACAGCATTGGATTGTATGGTATGGATGTTGAACTTCTTCCGCACCGTACGTAGCCAACCATGCTAATGGGAGATGCCGTAACAGATTGTTGGGGTCAAGGGCTGTAAGCGAGCACCTTTGAAGGCCGACACGGCACACGAGGGGGTGGGTGGCCAGCATCACGCCCGGCCGCCTTTGTCTCCCCAGTGGCGATGTTTACACACCACACTATGAACTCATTTGAGGCTGAGTCGACCTAGTGGGCGCCCAGGGCCGATTCAGATAATCGTCACTCTTGGTGGCAGTCAGTGGGAATCGAACTCGGGTCTCCGGGTTCGTTAACCACTTTACTACCTATAAATGATTAAACATATTTGTATTATTGTGTAACATTGATTACCCATCCCTGATTTTCAAATGTGACAAAATATTGCAATGGGCTGTCATCTGGTGAAAATTAATTATCGGCTGTCAGAAGTAATGTATGGTTCAATCAATCATCCAGCTCTGTGGCAATGGTGTTAGTATTGTTATCTTGCAGTCATAACATCATGTAGATTAACGTTATAACCGGGGGAGAGCCATTTGAGACAAAAGCCTCTTTTGCCAGGGCGATGTGGAGTGCAATCGTAGGAAATATATTATCTCAGCATGCAGAGAAAAAAATACAACCATGCAAACATCAAAATGTGACGAAATATAAATGTAACAGCAAAGTGAATACTTCAAATAATTACAACCTAAATATGCATAGGCGCTATCACATAACCCCCCTTTAGCGATATATTTCAAACATGCCGCTTTCTCTCCACCTGATGACGACCGCTTGTGTATTTTTTTAACTTTTATTATTTTAATTTTATTATTTTCTATCTACGTGACTTTACCGAAAGAACCAAACAATATACCGCAAACAGTCAATAGTCATGCCATCTGGTGATTTTATGATTTGTCATGATTCACGGTTGCAATTTGGTTCTTCTTCATAGCCATGCCTCCTTTGCACGGTTTTGTTTACTCCATTACTCAAAAATGTAACCGGAGCATATCACTTGCATATACAATTGCACGAATTGCAGATCATCACTTCTTACACGCGTGATTCAATGCAGTTTAACACGTAGGCTTCATGAGATAATCGATTTTCACCATTGAATCGATGCATCGTTTACATGCCTGCCAGCCACGCAAGCCACTTGTTACTCTTTCAATCCCTGCTCCCAATCCATCTCCCTTTCTTCCTGGAAAGTCAACAGTTCGTGAAGAAAATGGCGCCTTCTATGGAAATGTAAACATTCACAGCAGCCGATTCATCCACATGCATGGAAAGACAAGTTTTACTTTGAAACTGTGCTTTTAAAATTATACGGCTACCCCTTTCCACCCCCCCCCCCCCAAGTGAATCGATCAGCAGGTCGCGTATGGTGGGTTAAAGTCTCCAAGACATTTGGCCAGTGTGAAAGAGTAGGCCAAATACCATCGAGAGGGGCTCTCTAGAGCTCCCTGTAGTGGGCACACTTCCACCACCAGTGGCATGAGCAGGCAATTGCAGGGCCGCGCTTGTACCTTTTACCTTCCCCCAGCTGCATTCTCCAGCCCTGGTTTTAACTCTACTGTCATTTTATGATGAACAAGACTCTTGTTCGTGCTCTAGATGCAATAGCGCACCAGAACGTGTGTGTGTGTGCGCTGCGTGGTGATCATGGCGACTGCTACGCCACCCGGTCACCCGGCACTACGTCGTTTATGCCCTATGCGAGTCAATAAATTACGCGAGCACGATCGCAGCATGGGGCGCTGAGATTCTCCCTCCAGTGGGGAGGCGATGACGGAACTGGCCTTTTTCATTTTGCTGGTAATGACGCATGGGATAGATATGATCATTCGTGACCCTCTATCTCTCGTTACCAGCCAATGCATTGTGCTATATATGTGTTATGTATTCTAACATTTCGCTGCAAGTAATGCACACTATATATACATGCTTGACCTTTAGTCAAGACAAAGTGACTATCTGCTCAAATGTAAATATTTTGGGGCTGTATTAATCTTTATTGATGGCCCTGAAATTAACCATTCTCCATTCCCATGGTCAGGCCAGTTAGTCCATTGAACAACTACTTTTGAAATCCCATAAAATAATACTTTATTGACTTCATGTGATTAATGGGTCAATTCAACCCCTGATCGGGATTTGAACTTGCAACCTTCAACCATGAGTTTGGACTCCATTTGTCGACGGTCAAGACGAAAGGTGTGTAACCTTTCGGTGGGTGCAACAGCCACCAGCACACTCCAGCACAAAGAGCAGCAGATATTGGAGAGGGCCCACAAATTGATCTAACTCGTCGGTATGCTCTGCTCCTCTGATCGATGCGACGCGGAGATCAGGCAAAGAATCGGCATGGCCTGCTTCGCCACTGTCAACGACATCTGTCTGCAGGGGAGACTCAGCCTCGTAAAAAAGCCACACATCTAAAATTATTGCACCCTATCAGTTGCACCCTATTGCTCAGAGACCTAGACACTGTTCGCGTCCAACACCAAGCGGCTGGAGGCTTTCCAGATGCACATTCTTGGGATTAGGTGGTCTGACTTCATCACAAATGTCACCATGTCATCCTGCGCTTATCTACCCACATAGAGGAGCTCATTCGATACCATCATCTGGGCCTTGTCGTCCATGTAGCTCATCTTCAACCAGACACCTGGAGGAATATTGAAAACGGTCCATT